CAGTGGTTCTTAACCTTGGGTTACTCAGGTGTTTTTGAACTGCAACTCCCAGAAACCCCAGCCAGCACAGCTGGTGCTGAAGGCTTCTGGGAGTTGCAGTCCAAAAACACTTGAATAACCCAAGGTTAAGAACCACTGGTCTAGAGAACATGGTAGCTGCTTTGCCAATGCATTTATCCAGCTCCGACATCTAAGGAGAGAGTGTCAGAGATCGTTGAGCCAAGGTACACAAAGTCATGAACAACCTCCAATTCTTGTGTGGAGTTGGTAACAGAGGGAGCTGAATCCACCCCCTGGCCCATTACTTCTGTGCTCACAATAGTCCTGTGGCTAGTTGCTTTATTTCACCCAGGCATGGTAGTTAATGAACAATTCAGGAAGCTCATTGTTGTTCTTTAGTAGTTAAGCCATTTTAATTTCAGGGCTGCTGTCTCCATCTGCAGTGATCATGGAGCCCAGGAAGATAAAATTTGACACTGCCTCCATATCTTCCCCTTCTATTTCCCAGGAGGTGATGGGACCAGTGGCCATGATCTTAGGTTTTTTGATGTTGAACTTCAGACCATCTTTTGTGCTCTCCTCTTTCACCCTCATGAAGAGGTTCTTTAATTCCGCCTCACTTTCTGCCATCAGAGTGGTATCATCTGCATAACGGAGGTTGTTGATATTTCTTCCAGCAATCTTAATTCCGGTTTGGGATTTCTCCAGTCCTACCTTTCGCATGATGTATTCTGCATATAAGTTAAATAAGCCGGGGGACAATATACAGCCTTGTTGTACTCCTTTCCCAATTTTGAACCAATCAGTAGTTCCATATCCAGTTCTAACTGTTGCTTCCTGTCCCACGTATAGATTTCTCAGGAGATAGGTAAGGTGGTCAGGCAGTTCCATTTCTTTAAGGACTTGCCATAGTTTGCTCTGGTCTCCACAGTCAAAGGCTTTTGCGTAGTCAATGAAGCAGAAGTAGATGTTTTTCTGGAACTCTCTGGCTTTCTTCATAATCCAGTGCATGTTAGCAATTTGGTCTCTAGGTCTTCTGCCCGTTTTTAATCCCGCTTGTACTTCTGGGAGTTCTCGGTCCACATACTGCTGAAGCCTACCTTGTAGGATTTTGAGCATAACCTTGCTAGCGTGTGAAATGAGTGCAATTGTACAGTAGTTGGAGCATTCTTTGGTGCTGCCCATCTTTGGGGTTGGGATCTATGCTAATGAGGAAGCTCATTACCATAGAGGAATTGGTTCACCGCAGAAGCCTGTGTGCTGTAAGGTCTGTAAATCTTCAGCTGTAAGATCAAATCCATGTGGCTGAGGGAGCTCCCATCGCTTGTCCCAGCTCCCGCCAACCTAGCAGTTCGAAAGCATGCAAATGCGAGTAGATAAATAGGGACCACTAAATAGGGACCACTTCGGTGGGAAGGTAACAGCGTTCCGTGTCTAAGTCGCACTGGCCATGTGACCATGGAAGATTGTCTTTGGACAAAATGCTGGCTCTATGGCCTGGAAACAGGGATGAGCACCGTCCCCTAGAGTCGAACACGACTGGACAAAAATTGTCAAGGGGAACCTTTACCTTAACTGTCCAGGTGCTCGGAGTTTCAGAGTGTCCAAAGGGGAGGAATCGATGTAAATTTGAGTATTTATTTATTTTATTTATTTATTTATTTATTTTATATCCCGCCTATCTAGTCAATTAAGACCACTCTAGGCGGCTGTGCGGACCAGAAGGGGTTCTTGTTGAGATGCAAATCAAAGCAGCAATCATGGTCCTCCTATTGTCCTGCTGGGGTTATGTTAATTAAGGTCCAAGGTCTCTGCAGGCTGGCAGAGTTTTAGGAGGGAGGGGTGGAGAAACTGCACTCCATGGTGGAAGGTGCTTTTGACCTTTCTAATTATGTTTATTGGAAATACGCTTCATAGAGACATAGAGAACAGAGTCATAAACCTTAGCATCATCTGGAGAAGGGAGGGGCAGCAGTGGTCAATGGTGGGGGGCGAGGGGAGCCTCTTGGGGCCACCTGCGTTTGGGTGGCTGGTGGGTGGCCATTCACCAGGCTGGGTCCAGTGCCTTGAGCAGGGATCACTCACGGAGCAGGAGCAGCGCCTTTGCCTGGTCTGTTGGCCCTAGTAAAGGTCATTGCTTTAGGTCAGGATGGCAATCTCCAGGCTCCCATTCTGTGGCCGGCCGTTTCCCTTAAAGCCGTTCCAGAAGGGAGAAGACAAACATCCTCTCCTGCCCAAATGATTCTGGCTTCTCTCCCCAGCATTTGGCCCTGCTCTTGCAGAACCCCAGCCACCCCCACCCCTGACAGGGGTTCTAGTTTCTCCTCCCTCCGGTCTGTGACTCGGCTTGGAGCTGGGGGGTGGGTGGGGAGGAAAGGGTGGCAGCGGTGGCAGCAGCAGCAGCAGCAGCAAGAGAGCTGATCATGCCTCCCCCACAAGGAGCCGCTTGGCATTCAGGACCTCGGGCAGGATCTGGGGCCTCTTGCAAAATTCTGGAACGCACGCCCCCCCCCGGGGGGGGGGGAGGGCATCCTTCCCTGGCCCCTGGAGGATGATGGTCCAAGGGCACCTGTGGAGATGCAGGATCTTCGCCTGTCTTTGTGAGGAAAGGCAGCCTTGCAGCTCAGGGCAGCCCAGCCCAGCCTGGTGCATCTCTTTATCCCCCCCTTGGCCTGGGGCAAGGGATGGGGGGGCGTGCTCACTGCAGACGGGGAAAGAGGAAGTGGCCCCTCACCTGCATGGCCTGGCCAGCCTCAGCCTCAGCACAAGGTCCGGGCGGCCTGGGGTGGGCCAGAGGGCAGTGGTGGGCTGCCCTAGATGTCTTGGGGGGGGGCTGGCAGGTCAAGCAGAAGTAAAGTGCCACCCCCACCCCCTGCAGCCCAGCAGAACCCACAAACACACACACACACACAGCCTGCTGGACACGGGGGTCCCGCGAGGGACCGCCAGCGGTCTTTATTGCCTCCGGCAGGGGCGGCTTCTCTGTCGGCCGTCCTCAGGCCTTCTTGTCGTCTTTCTCCTCCACGAGCCTCCGGGGCCCTGAGGGGGGAAGAGGCAGAGCGGGTGAGACGGAGGGGACGGCCGGGCCGGGGGCTCCTGCCCCGGCAGAGCCCAGCGGGACGGGTGGTTCACCACAGGGGCCCCGGTCAGCACGGCATCGCGCAGGTCGGGCATCTCAGCAAACGGCAGGTAGGCTTCTCCTGGGGAGAGAGAAGCCACGGTGGGACACGGCTGGCCGGGAGGAAGCCCTGGAGTGTGTGTGTGGGGGGGGAGAGCTGGGGAGCCCCCTGGGTGGCCACTCCACCGTGCTGGGCGAGGCGGTGCAGGACGGAGCCTCTGTGGGGGACAAGGCCCGGGCTCAGCGACCAGGACGCAATGGGCCCCATTTGCCCGTCTGAGATCCCATTTTGGCTCCATGGTGGGAAGACCCCGGGATTCTCCAGGGAGAGCCAAACAGGAGCCCCTAAGAACCCACGAGGAGCCGAAGGCAGGAGGAGGCCCCAGCCCTTCCGGGACCCGCCTTCGGTTCCCCGGGTGGCCAAAGAGGCTCCCCAGGATCAAGCCCACTGGCCAGCTGGACACTCCTCATCAGCTCTTTCCCCAGCCGGTGTGATGGAAAGGCCCACTGCCTCACCGAGGGTGTGCGAGCGAAATACCCCTTGGCACCATGACCTGGATCTCACCATTACTGTATGTGTAAAGCATCCAGGTTGGCCGCCATCAGGAACCTTGGCCCGGGTGAAGCAAAATGTGCAGCTGATCCTAAATCCTCACCGTTCAGCTACAGCTAATGGGCTCTTGGGTTATGGAGGCGGGGAGGAGAAAACGCCTCCTTGGGGCTGGGATGGGGGGGTCTCTGAATGGTGCCCTGGAGGCCATTCCCCTGGGGCTCAGCCCAGTGGCTTCCGAGGAGCGGGCATCTGTTTATTGCTGAAATGGACGGAAGCCTGGCACGGTCCTAGGAGATGCCCACCGGGGGCCCAGGTGGAACGGGCAGCCGGGCTTCTTCTTGCCTGCACGGTGGGAGCTCCTGCACTGCAGAGCACAGCAGGTGCGGCCGGACAAGGTCCTGCCAGGCTAGATGATGGCAAGGCGTGCCACGTGGGACGGCTCTTGATGATGTTTTGCAGGCTTTGGTGGGTTTCAGGATAGCTGAGTGGCAGGACAAGTGGCTTTCATGGGATGGGGTGGCTTGGGAGCTGAAAAAAGGGGATCCTTCCTGAGGGGGCCGAGAGGTCCGGACAGGAAGAGGGGGCAGCCCTGAGCCAGAGGCACTGAGGCGGTCATCCGATTCAGGCAGAAGGGCCTGGAAAGGCATCCTCAGGGTGGGCCATCCCACAGACCCCCACCCGTCCTCCCTCCCCTAGCACACAGCCTACCGCATGGCCGGCCACCCTTGCGGCGCGTCTCCTCAGATTCAAAGAAAGTCTCGTGCTCCTCCCAGCGCCGGTCGCAGGCTGCACAGAGGAAGTTGGAGGCGAAGGCCATGCAGGAGCAGCCTAGAAGGGGGAGAGTTGACCCGTCAGTGGCATCCGTCCAGGGTCAAACCCTTAGCCTGGCGATGAGGCGTTGGGGGCCCTTTATTAATGGCACAGGGAACGGTCCTTGCCACTTCACACCCCAGATACCCAATGGTCCCCTCCTCTAGAACTGCCCCACTGATACCCATCTTCCCCCTCCCCAAGGCTTCGGACGCCCGGCAACCCCCACAGGCAAGGCGGAGCGCCTCCACCCTGTCCAGGCCAGGCCCTCGGTCCTCTCCCCTGCCCTGCCCTTCAGTGGGCTCGCTCCTGGCCCACGGCTGCCTTTAGGCGGCTCTGCGGTGAGCCACCTCCGCCTTGCCCACAGATGCTGCAGTTGGACCCTACCTGCCTGCCTGCCTGCCTGCCGGGGAGGGACCATCACGCTCCGCTCGGCTTCCACACCTCCTCGAGACCCCCTGTCCCCATGTCTGGCGGGCCCTGGCGGCTCTCTCTCTCTGGGGCCGTGTGACTCTTGGGGGTAAGGGTGGGCGTCTGGTCTGCCTCTGCCATGTGCTGTCGCTTCCTCTTGGCTGAGATGAGATGCCCACCAAAAGCGACTCCCAATATTTTGGGGGTGTCTGTGTGTTTGGTGTGTGAGAACCCAACATCATTTAAAAATAAACCCTGGAAGGCTGTGGGCGAATGAGTGGCCACTTTAGCAGAAGGGCTTAGACCTGCTCAGCTGGACCTGGGGAGCAGTTGTCCGGAGGGTCACCCTGGCTGATGGCAGCCCATCCGAGGTTCCTTCTTCCTCGCCAGGAAAGGGTCCGTCGATAGGAAAAGCCCCCCCAGGCCACAACCCCATGAGTGGTAGAGTTCACACTGAGATGAGCCTTGGAACAGTCACTACTAATCAACCTCGCAGGGTTGTTGTGAAGTGAAAATAGAAACCACCAAGCCAGTGTTGGAATTAATTACCAATTCAACATGCAGATTAGTGCCTGATCACCCGAGAGGCAGGAAGTGCTTGTTAACTAACATGCTGGGTAGCTCGCCACTCCCCTCCTTGACCAGATAATTAGCACTTTTTCTTTGATAGATGGGCGAAAATGACCCTTTATCTATCTTCAGTTGTTTTTTTACTGCTTTTATCTTATGCACCACAGGTTTCTAAGAGGAAGGAATGCTCTTTTGAGTTTCTCCTTAGGTCCACCCTGTTCTCCCAGCCAGGTAACTTGAGAGAGCCCAGTTTTGTTTTACTCTTTTAACTATTTTTTCATTTCATTCCTTCTACTGGGAGCCTCCCATACGTTCCAACAAAGTTCAAGCCTACAATTTTGAAGTCAGTGAGTAAAGGTCAATTTTCAGAGAACTGCAGAACAATGGAGTTGGAAGGGGCCAGTGAGGCATGGAGTCCAGCCACCCCCCCCCCCCCCCGCGCTCAGGGCAGGAATGCAAATAACGGCAGAGTTGACGGAGGATCCTCTAAATTTATCTTGAATGCCTCCAGTGATGGAGCTCTCACCACCCCTCTAGGTCATGGGACCCATCATTGTTCTGCTCTAACAGTTAAGAGGTTCTTCCTGATATTCAGCCTGAATCTGCCTTCCTGTAGCTTGAGCCCATTATTATGTGTCCTGCACTCTGGTATGATCGAGAACAGATCCTGCCACTCTTCTGTATGTTAGTCTTTAAAGTATTTGAAAAGTGCTATCCTTTCTACCCTCAATCTTCTTTTCTGAAGGCTAAACATGGCCAGCTCTTTCTATCTTACCTCCCAGTCCTTGGTTTCCAGTCCCCTGATCATCCTTCTTGCACTCCTCTGAACTTAATCTATCGGCATCCTTCATAAACTGTGGTGTCCAGAACTGGAGACAGTACTCAAGATGAGGCCCAATCAGTACCAAATGGAGGAGAACTAGTGCTTCACAGAATTTGGGGACTATGTTTCCATTAATGTATCCTAAAATTACATTTGCTTTTTTTTCTGCAGCCAATTCACACTGTGGGATTATATTTGGCTTGTGATCTACAGATGATTCCAAGTTCCTTCTCACTTGTAATATTATTGAACCACGTAACCCCCATATTGTAACTGTTTTTCCCCTTATGTGTAGAATTTGCACTTATCTCTGTTAAATTTCATTCTGTGCTCAAGCCTATAAAGATTTTTTTTTAAATTTTGTTCCTGTCTTCCAAGGTATTAGCTATTCCACCCAATTTTGTGTCATCTGCAAATCTGATAATCATTCCCTACATCCCCTATCAATTATGGTGCTGGAGGAGACTCTTGAGAGTCCCCTGGGCTGCAAAGAAAACAAACCTATCCGTTCTGAAGGAAATCAACCCTGAGGGTTCATTGGAAGGACAGATCCTGAAGCTGAGGCTCCAATACTTTGGCCATCTCATGAGAAGAGAAGACTCCCTGGAAAAGATGCTGATGTTGGGAATGTGTGAGGGCAGGAGGAGAAGGGGATGACAGAGGACAAGATGGTTGGATAGAGTCATGGAAGCTTCCAACGTGAATCTGACCTTACTCCGGGAGGCAGTGGAAGACAGGAGGGCCTGGCGTGCTCTGCTCCACTGGTTCTTAACCTTGGGTTACTCAGGGGTTTTGGACTGCAACTCCCAGAAGCCTTCACCACCAGCTGTCCTGACTGGGGTTTCTGGGAGTTGCAGTTCAAAAGCATCCAAGTAACAAAGGTTAAGAACCACTGCTCTGCTCTACAGGGTCATGAAGAGTCGGACATGACTTAATGACTAAACAACAACCTAAATAATGCTTTTTTGTTGCTTTTAGCATCTCTTGCTAACCTCAGCTCATTTTCAGCTTTTGTCTTTCTAATGCCATCACTGCAATTTCCTGCTACTTGTCTGTATTCTTCTTTTGTGGCCTGGCTTTCCTTCCACTTCCTATATATGTGTCCTTTTTTGTTTTCAGGTCATCTCTGAGTTTTTCATAACGCCACACTGGACTTTTTTTTGATGTCTTCCATCTTTTTTTCTTGTTGGAATTGTATGTAGTTGTGCCTTTAGAATGTCCTTTTTAAAAAACTCCCATCCATCTTGGACTGCTTTTCCTGTTAGAATCGCCAGCCCTGGGACCGTACCTATAATTTTTCTGAGTTTTCTTCTTATATTGAAAGCAGTGTCTGAGGAACTGCTTAAGTTGTTTAAATGTGGTGGGGGTGTTCTTGGAGACTTGCTTTTTTTCCTTTGTAAAAATTTATTAGTACAAAATAAACCTACTACTACACAAAAAAGAAAACCTATATAAAAATACAATACAATACAATACAATACAATACAATAAAATACAATTACCCATGTGCTCCCATCACCTTCAGGACTAGCATTATACTTTGTTCCATCCATTTTCACTCCAAAATTTCATTGTTTCTTCCCTTGGTGTAAACCCCCGCCCTCTCCGAAATACATGTCCCAAAAATACATTCCATATTTTCTTAAAATCATTATTTTTCATTTGGCCTCTACTTATTTTCATATCACATGTCAGTTTGTCGTTAATTGCAATGTCCCATAATTCTCTATACCATTCCTCTAAGTTAAATTGATTATCATTTCAGTTTCTTGCAAAAATTGTCCTTGCTGCCGTAATCATTATTACTATTAAATCCTTATTTTCTTTCACCAATTGATCTTCCTTAATCAAATTCAATAAGGCTATTAATGGAGACATTTGAATATTAAATCCAATTATTTCAGATGTATCTTTAAATATTAAATTCCATTCTTTTTTTTTTTGCATAACCACCACATATGTAAATACGTCCCCTTCTCTTTTCTACAGCTCCAACATAATGTTGACACACTTTTATCCATTATATTCATTTTGACCGGCATTAAATACCATCTCCATATTACTTTATAACAATTTTCTTTTATCCTTACTGACATGTTCTTCATAATTCTCTGATCCCATATTTTATCCCATTCTTCTCCTATTGCTTCTTTGTCAAAATCATTTTGCCATTGCATTTTTAATCCTAGAATACCCTGTTCAACTTGAATTAATAATTTATATATTTGGCTTACAGTTCCTTTTCTTTCTGTCTTTTCCTCTGATTTCAATCTTTTTTCCTATAATCTCTTCAAATTTTGTCATTTCTCTGCCTTTCCCTTCTTTAGTATACCATTCACTTGTCCACCTTTCTAATTGGATTAAATTTAACCATGAAATCCCTTCTCCTCCTAGTACCTTTTTTATATCCCCTTTTCCTCTTATCTTCTCTATCCAGTCTTTTAATCTACTTATCTCTTTACTTTTTAATGTGTTCTTTAGATTTTTTTAAATTTTCCGGAAAGTTCCTTAATTCCACCACCAGAGATAAAGGAGAGATCGGTGGACTGTCCTTGGAGACTTGCTACTGAAATTTAAATCCCCAAGTTGCTGGTGTTTCCATTGCACAGTTAAAGCAATCAAGACATTCCTCTCTGCTGGTGCTATAAAACCCGTCACCTCATACCTCTCACAGCCAGGCCACTTGCTGGCATTCCTGGAAGGGTGAAAGGGCCCCTTTTGAGAAACAATGCCTACGTCTTCCTGCCCTTTCCCCTCCAGGCTCTGCAGCGGCCCCCTTCCTTACACGATTCTCTCTGGTGGCATTTTTCCAGGGGCCCCAGCTGGGCAGCCTGAACATGGGCTCTGTGCCATAGGTGGCATGTGCCAGCTGCCTTCCTTTTGGGTCCTTTTCCACAAGGAGCCTGGGCAGGATGGCTTCCCCGTGGGCGAAGCCCCCTCCCAGCAACGCCTGTCACACCCACCTCGGGCACAGCAGGCACGAGCTCCAGTTGGCGTGTGCTCCTCATGAGTGTGTTTGCACCGACATTTGGCTCGCCAAGCAGCTGCCTCAAAGCCGGTTCTTCTCTGCAGCCAGAATTCACCCACTTCCTCTGGGCGCGATGGGACAAAGGTGAAGGACTGGCATTTGCACTCTGGCTGGGTGCAGGGCACAGTTGCCCGCCTCTCTGAAACGCAAAGCATGCCAGTCAGGGAGGCAGCAGGCCGGAGGGGGGGGTGCCCCATCTGCTGCAGCCTGAGCCTTCCTGCAGCCAGGGGAGAAGGGGTCTGGGGGGGGGGAAAGCAGCAAACAAGGGGCGTGGAGGGCTTGAGAAATGTCTGGATGGGCTACAGGAATGGTTTTCTCTTTGGGTCCTTGACTCCAACGGGCCAGGGCTGTGTGTCCTTGTAACCGAAAGGCACTGGGCCAGTGTTCAACTCCTTGGAAGTTCTGCTCCCAGGCCCACCCCATGGGCCCCACCAGGCAGAGGTTAGCCTGCAGGGGCTCAGTCACAGCAGCCGCTGCCAACCGGAATGAAGACGGTGAAAAAGATGTGCAGCGGATGGTGAATGTGAACATGCAGACTTGGTGAGCTTGCAAATATTTGGGCCAGCTAAGAGGGCGGGGGGAGGAGGAGGGGGCAAGGAGCATCAGGCACACCTGTCAGAGACTCTTGGTGAGGATGAGTCAATGGGACCACCCTGTCTAGAGGCAGTCGGCCTCCGGGAATCAAGCGGGTGCTCTCTTTCTGGTCACAGGGGCTGCAAACAGAGCTCTGGGGCGCCCCCAGCCTTTTGGCCTCCTTTAGCGAGGCCTTCATCCTGTTCTGAGCCCACTCGGGCCATCGGCTGCACTCCAGGGCCCCCCCCGGCTCCCCCACCAGCTCTGCCCTCACTTACCCACACAGACCTGATGCCGCTTCAGCAGATGCCCACAGAAGCACTTGGACTCGTCACCCACACGGAAACAGTCCCACAGGTACTCAGGGCAGCGCCAGCCAATGTAGAGGCCTGCGGGAAAGGCAGCGCGGTCCCGCCAGCTGGGTCTCTCGCAGGCAGAGGGCGCGTCTTCGTTTTGGGGGGCTGGGCCCAAAAGACCAGGCCCCTCCCCCCCCCACACCCACCAGCTCCCTGTCTGCAGATATATATTCCCAGGGAGCCTCTTTCTAGCCCCACATCAGCCGCCGAGAGGGCTCCTCCCCTGCCGCCCTCTTTCCTTCCAGTGCTGACTGGGCTGTGACCCCCCCCAGTTGCCCACCCCAGGGGGGCCTTCCTCCACTCCCCCACGAGGGACATCTCCTCCCCCTCGGGAGTGCGCCGAGGGTGTGCCTCCTCTCCTCTGCACAGGAAGAAGAGTCTGGGGGTCTGGTTGCTCAAACGTGGGGTATCCAGCCCAGGAAAGCCTCCTCCTTCGCCCCATGGCCCCAGAAAGCAGCCACCCGCTTGAAATCCCTCAGAGGGTGGGACTCAGCACCAGGCCGTCTCCCAGGCCCCCAACTCATCCAGGGGATTAGGGTGACCTTTTTGGTATGTCTAGGTTGGGGGGTAGAGAACCCTATCTGGGGGCGGTGGTGGTGGTGTCCCAGGCCAGTGAGTCTCATGCCTTACACCAGAGGAAAGAAAGCAGGTTCCTCAACAGAGAGAGAGAGAGAGAGAGAGAGAGAGGTTCTAGACTCATGGCTTCCCGGAAGGATCCGGGGAAATACGAGGCCTCTGTGGGGTCCCCCCATGCCCGGTTGTTCCTTGTTCCCGAGCAGCGGGCAGCGGGCGGGGGCATCACCTCAGGGGGGAGCCCCCCCACCCGACTCTGGCCGGAGCCCACCTGTCTCCATGGACTTCAGGGCCGCCTGCTTCTCCAGGTGGAAGAGCGCCTTGACGTTTTTGCCAAAGTCCTCCCGGTGCATCGCTTTGGCCACGGACACCAGTTCGGCCTTCTCCGCGGGGACGATGGGCCTCCCCACGTAGCCTGGGGAGAGAAAGGCCCGGCTCAGGGCCCAATCCACAGAGGGAACGAGAAAACCCTGCCGCGATCTCGGGGGGGAGCCGTGCGGATGGGCCGGCAGCGAGTTGGAGGGCTTTGCAGGAGAGGCCCGCTGGTCGGGAGCGCAGGGCCCGCGGGCTCCCTCCCGGCTTTCCCCTGCCGAGGGAGCGTCCTGGAGCGCCTCTCGGGGCAAAAGGGCAGGACAGCAACGGAGGCCGTCAGAAGCGCCCGAGGACCCGTCCGGAGACCCCCTCGCGCCCCTCCGACCAAGCGCCCGCCCGTCGGCTCACAGCCCGCCCGGTT